GTGCATTGTGGAAGTTTGATAACTAGAATGGCGTCGCTAGAATAAAGACTGGACAATTGAAAATAAGGAACTGTCAGGAGTTGTCTTCGTAACAGGAAGAAACGGGGCTAAAATCCCGCTTCGGGAATTGGTGTAATTCATCTCTTTGTAAAATCTGTCTTTGTTGTGTTGTGCAACCTATATAGTGAAGAGATAGTGACGATAGTTTTTCGACATTTTGACAAAATTTTCGCACGGATCATATACCAGAAAAAAGTTTTGTCAAAAACGATGAAAGTTCCGTGGTACTTTTTACAGTGAGAGGACCAATGGCGCAATGCTGGTAACATGGTCAACATTGTGCATCGGTCACCTTTATTTCCTAGACTAACTGATAAGTATAGATCTGAAGCTGGGCATGTTACAAGCAGTTGCCGGAGATAAGACCACTGCTCTTTAATAGAAGGCAAAATTCCTTAAATGTGTCATTCCGATGAACAAATGGATATTTAAAAATTTTCAGCTCCTAAACATTTCTGAAATAGACTTCTAAACCATATTTAAAAGCTTTGCTCGGACCAAAGTGCATGTAAAAAATATCCCGAATGCCTGGCAAAGAACTTCTATCAATTCTGTTGCAACATTTCTTTGAATAAATCGAGCTAAATTAATTCCATTTAAAAATTAAATGATCTTATGTATTAACAAAAACATTCCCTTATTTTGAGATTTTTTTTCTTTCATTAGAATTTTTTTTCAATATTTTATTCTTTAGCTTTCTCCTCCAGACAGAGTTAATCATTATAACTTAAATTATTTGCCTATTTCTGTGTTCAATCGTGTCAGGATTCGCTCTTGTTATTCATATCTGTCTAAAAATAATTTAATTTAATTCAAATAATATCAATTAAACGAATAATTATTGGCCTTAGAAGCCTAACTACACATATTAAAATTCGCAAAACCTTTAAAAACGAACTTACTTAGAAACAACTTTACAATCTAATTAAAATAAGAAACAAATAAGAAGCGTATAAAAACATATAGAAACAAATAACATTTCAAAAAAACTTAAATCTTAGTGACATTCCTCTCTTTCTTTCTAATAAATATTGAGGATTTGTTTGAAGGAAAATTATTCTTTTATCAGGAAACGAAATCTGATACTTTTCGTTACTATACATTCTGCATTCCAAATAAATATGTCTCTATCAATTTCGATTTTTTTACGAAAAATAGATTGAATGAAACATGTATTTGTTTTAAATCATATGTATATTTTTTTTGTATTATTCGGAAGTGCATTTCAAAGGAAAATTATATGTATCATTAGAAAAACAATGCAAACATAACTGAAACTACTTTATCATATCATATAAATGATGTATTTCCTTACAAACCAGATCCTAAACCACTTGTTTTGATTATATTTTATTAGTTTTAAGTATTCTTTAACCTTATTGAACAATTACAATTTTTTAAATATTTCAATCTTTTTTCATTTTTATTAAAAAATAGAATTTTATTTATTTTTAAATTTTTAAGGAAAATATCTCATAAGAAAGCAAAACTAAATTTTTTTTGTATTATTAAAATTTGTAATATTTTTTTTTTTTTGAAAAAAAAGGTAAAGAATTACAAGAAATAAGTTTATAAAATAAAAGCTACATTATTTTATAAATCATTTTCTTTCTTACTAAAAGTAACAAATTAAATAAATTGTTTTTCTTATTAAGGAAAAAAATTTTTCGCAGCTAAAGTGATAGAATAAAACTTGTTTTTTTTTCCAAAAACACAAAAAATGACTCATTTTGAAATGCGTTGAACAGAGGTATTCGTTCTGAGTGCTTCATGTAGAACAAGAGAGAGGTTAGTTAAGATCCATAATTTGTAGTTTATTTACTGAATAATAAAAGTAAAACATTTTTCATAAAGCTTATATTTTTATTCAGTTTGCCATTTGACGACTTACTCAAACATTTTAAAATTCTATACAAAATTATACAGGTTGTTTATAAAGTCCCGGACCCATTTTGATGTTTAATAACTTATAAAATGATAAAGATAGATTAAATATAATAGCATAAATGGTTAGATAGACTTAAAAAGATTCATGACCCTTGTCAATGAATTTCCATGTGTGCCCCCTTCGTCGCACGGAGAATATCAAGTCGATAGTTAATTTCACGCCAGGTAGCGGCAAGCATGTCGGCCTCTGTGGATGCAGACATGCTAAAATTTTGCGTTGTTTACATCTGTATTTTTTAACGATAAAAGCCGGCAACGGTAAACATCACAATTTCAGTTTCCTTAAAATTGAAATAAACAGAGAAAAGTAAATTTTGATTTTGTTTTCAGACATATTATGTTTTTGTTGTTAATATTTCAAGGTTTTTAATTACTTTAATCAAAGCTATTCAAAATACTATAAATTATTTTTTGGAAAAGATTTTAAAATTAAATATCTTTCTGACCAAAATATTTTCTTTTAACCAAACGATATTTAATGATATAATCTCCTATATACATCGAAACGCAAAACCTTGTGCATGTAATTAATTAGACAAAAAATCCTAAGACTCTCAGTCAAATATTTTTTTTTGTTATACTAGCGTAATCATTAAAAATTATAAAGTAGCAGAGAGTAAAGTTTTATACTCAAAAGAGATGTTCAAACAGAGTTCACGAGAAGATTAGATGGTCTTCCTTGTAAGAACGTTTTAAAAAATCACAACCCGTAGGCTTTTAACTTTTTAGTTGAATAACAAGTTTAGATGCTTTTAACAAGTCTATGAGGAGAAAAGGGAATTCCTGCTGCACTGACGAAAAAAGAAATATGGTCAAAACTACCACAATAAGGCTAAATTTAAAGTGTTTTTGGTTCTACGGAAGCACCAAAAAGCTTGGCCATTTTTTTGTGAAGTGCTTCGGTAAAATTAAAAATAAAATATGGTTTTAATAATGTGTGATAAAATTTGGTATATGTGGTCAAATTTCGATTTTTTCAAGGCATAAAAATCATTTATTCGGTTGAATTTGCTGTTCAGTTTCGTATTTTTAACTAGATACATATGTTGTAATAAGAACTATAATTTTGAAAATCAGAATTTCAGTTAAACCTTTACTATATGAATGGAAAAATTACCAAATGAATGATACCATATATTTTGCTTTTAATATCTAGAATTAGTCTTTTTTTTAAAAAAATAAATACTATACACCGTAATTTTACCAGAATTTTTTTCTCCGTGTGATTTGCCATAGTTGCACGCATTGTATTAATCTCAAATATTGTATATTTAAATTCCTCTCTAGGGTTATCGCCCTTTAATGTTAAATGACAAACCTTTCAATTAAATAAGACCATTTCCCCCGAACTATCTATTTCCTTACTCGTAGAGTATTACAATAAGGATACACAATGCATAAAATCTATTTCATTCGTTCATTTCATAGAGAAAAAAAAGTACAAAAAAAATTTCATAAAAATAGCAGAAAAGCTGCTTGGGCTTGTTAAATAAGAAATGTGCAGTCATTTCTAAAGTTAAAAAATAGCTCCGCATAAATGGTATAAGAAAATCACATAACATCCACAGGTCATACTCACCCCAAATACACATGTTTTTCACGAATCGAGATTTTTTTCTCATAATTACATTTCTGATTGCGATTTGGAGAATGTTTGTTCCACACCTCAAGGGAGCATCATCGTTGGGAAGTCCGGAGGGAGCTATAAAATCCTCGCTCTATAAAACGAGGTCCCATTAGAATGAGTCTTATTTGCTTTGTACAAAGCTGTATTGCTCCCGAAATGTGATACGACCGTACATGATAAGAGTTAACTAAGCTATTAGGAAGACTCGGGGCGCTCTCTAAGGTTGTTTTCTTTTTTAGTTGAAAAAAGTGCACAACGTAATACTTTTTGCGTCAGAGAATTATAATTTCAAAAGCAGTGATTCAAACATAAAGCCAAGTATAAATGTGATTATGCGCTATTTAAAAACAACTATTTAGTCATTTTTTTAAACGAAATAAATAGTTGCTATATGTTTGTGATAAGAAGTATTTGATCCTAAGGGAAGCCTCTGTGATTTTCATGTTTGGATGTTCCCGCATTTTAAATCAAAGGATGTTTCTTGCCTTTTAAATCATTCGAAATCATTTTTTGCTTCCCTTACGCATGTTTTAACATATTTAATATTTGTAGAGCTTAACCTACGAATTGCAAATGTAAACTAGGAATAAACCATTTTATTATATATATATATAGATATATATATATATATATGTTACAGTGAAACACCGAAATCTGAAGAATGTCAACTATCACATAGTCGCTTTGGTGAATGTCCGAAATATTTGTTATATCCAATTTAATATTAATTTATTCGTTAATATTATTATATTTATTTGATATATTTATATTTATTCTATATTTTGATTCTTACTGACGATAGATTAGAAATCTATCAGTTTTTGGAGTATCGGGCAAATATATACCGGGCAATGGCACTTGACCTTAAAAAAACATCAGTGTAGGGTATACCGGGCAAATGTATACCGGGCAGTGGCACTTACCGTTAAAAAAATATCAGTGTAGGGTATACCGGGCAAATGTATGCTGGGCAATGGCACTTAACCTTAAAAAAACATCAGTGTAGGGTTAAAATATCGAATAAATGTAATTATATCCACGAATAAATTCATATCAAATCGAATGTAATAAATATTTCGGGCATTCACCAAAGCATATCTGTGATTGTCGACGTACACCGGTGAGGGTTCGAAAGTACAAGAATGTAATGAAATATTCGTTCTTTCACCGACGTATTTGGTGCTTCTCGACATTCACAGGTGAAGGTCAACAACCACCGATTTCGGTCTTTCGCCGTGACATATATATATATATATATATATATTATTTGCCTTGATCTGGCTATTATTAACACCCATTTATCTGCCGATTTTATAATTCGAATTGAACTTATTATGAATGTTGAAATACAAACTTTTCTGCCACTAATAAATATTTAATATGTTAGATCAAAGGGTGTAAACAATTTTGCAGGTTTTAAATGAAATAAATAAGCATTAAAATTAATAAAGTTTTAGAATAAACTTACCTCAGAATAACAAACTTGCATGTTTTTGTCATTATCCCTCTAATTGTAGCCGAAACATTTAAATGACACCGGTTGTATAACACAATTCCATTCACCTATAGCGGAAAACATTGAGTCAAATTTAAGATGACTGAAATTTCAAAATGAATATATTAAATAAGAAATTGAAAACTATAGAGGAAGATATTGAATATATAATTTTGAAAATTGCAAAGTATCCAGTATTTTATCGTAGATAGTAATATTTATTTTTTGACTATTAAGTATCTCAAAACAATTACACATATAAGAATTATTTATACGAAATTATTCTAAGCCATTTCTAATTAATAAATAGAAAACAGTGGTACATTTAGCTATGTCCCAAATTTTTCTTTCTCATTTAAACACCTGTTAGTTTAAGACATAAAATTATATTAATTAATTTACACAAAGTTATACAAATATTTTAATTATCTATTGTATTTACTCAAAGTTATCTAAAATAATTTTCAATTATATAGAAGAAGCTGCGACCAACTTCATTAAGATGTGATTTATATTTTCCCCTCTCATTTAAAATATATGTTTCTCAGTTTCAAAGTAAAGAAATATAAGAATTTTTAAATTATTACATGAAAAACATAATGATTATTAATAAACAATACATAATCTTTATCATAAATAGATATCTTAATGAATATAAATTCTGTCAAGAATGATACTAAAAATGAAATGATTAGCAAAGAAAGAACAAATATAAGTTTTATAGAAATAATAGGACATTACTACCAAAAAGCCAAATAAAAAAGAAGAAAAAATGGATGTTTTTAAAAAATGTATTCAAATTAAAATTTTTAACAGTTATCTGTCATTGGTCATTTTTTCATAATCTACATTATGATTCAGCATTACCAATCAATGAAATTACATTTTCTTTACACTGTAATGGGTTATAAAATTAAAAAGAAATAAATTTTTATAATTAGAGGATATACTAATTTTTATTTACTAATTTTAATATACTAATTTTTATTTAATACACGGAATTTTTGGGCCAAAATATTCAAAAGGCATAAATGTATGACACTAAGATTAAAACATTTAAAGAATATGGATTAAAACATTACTTGAAATGGAAAATTGATAAAAATTAAAACTAAAAATAACTTTAACTTTTGAATTTCAAAGAAAATAATTATGTTTCAGATTAAATTAATCTTATTAATTATTTCAACTGAATTTATCTTACCTCCAACAATTCATCTCCAACTAAAATTGTACCTGTTCTTGCAGCATTCCCATTTGGGAACAGTCCACAAACAAAAGTACTCATCTTAGAGCGATTTTTATTACCTGCTAAACTAACACCTAATCCATTAGCACCCTTTTCAATTTCAACTAACATCGCACTACCTTTAAAATCACCATACTTTCTTTCAACTTTCCCTACAAAAAAGAAATTAAATTAGAAAATGTAAAAATTTAAAAGATATATTTAAGAGACGTAAAGGCATACAATAAAAATAATAAATTGTATCATATTTTTATCTTAGTTACACGCATTTAATACTGAAGGAATAGTTAATAATATGGAACTCTATTTTGTTGCTGACTACCCGAGTGTCGAATATAAATTAATAAAGAAATTTTGTCTCATTACACTACATTGAAAATTACATTTTAACATGCATGCTTTTGTGCATAGCAGACCAGTTTCCCCAATTCTCTGAAATAGTGTACAAGAAAAAAAATATTCACACAAGTTTGTAATTTGCAAAACATGAAAAAAAGTGTTTTAAATTTTGCTAGTTTAAGAATGATTCTAATAAAACGGAATATAAATTTCAAAAATTCGATTAAAATAAAAAAATACATAAATCAATAAATACAATGTCATCTAATAGTTAGGTATAGATATCTATCTAAAGTCAAATGCAACAGTTTGGTGGAAAAATCTTTCTTTAAAAATTATTAAACAGTTTGATAATGAAGCAAAAATATATATAAAAAATTCTTCATACTGTTAGTATAGCCAAATTCATCTTCTTCTTCATCATCATCAGGTATTTTAAGATATCCAGCACTATTACGATCAATCTAAAATATTTAGAGCAAATTACAATTGATAAAAAGTTTTAAAAAAATTATAGTAAAATTAACACAGAGCACAGATTATCCACAGAGTTGGGAGGCAAGAGAGTATAAAAGAAACCCAGATAGTAAAAAAAATCTCATAAAGTAAGGTTCAAACACTAATAATTTTCAAATGCATTCATATATGCGTATACATTGTATTCAAGCAACAAAAAACTTTGTTCAACATATAAATTACATAAGCAATGAATGGTCAAGAAAAAAATCATATTTCATAAAAGTGCTGATAAATAAAAATTCATATATTCAGAATGAAAGGTTCGGAACTGATCAGGTGCCATATAATTTTCGATCTCTTAGTGGAANCAAAAACGTACTTTCTCTGAATAAATATATCTTTTTGAATATGTAATTTTAAATATCAAATTACGAAAGTTGAGCTAAATCAATCGGTTAGTTACCGAGAAATCGAATATTAAAGATGTAATATATTTAAAACTCGATTTCTCAGGAACTATTCAACCGATTTCGCTAAAATTTTGTATTTTGCCCCAGTTACATACCTTAAAATGGCGTAAAAGTTGTATACCTTACAATTCAAAAAATTTTCGACCATCATTAAATAAAATAATAAAAAAGTAATAAATACTTAATAAAATTTATATTTTGCCTGGAATTATCTTTGGATATACGAATTTTATAATTGTATGCCAAAAATTTCATTTCGCATAAGGAGTTCGCGAGATATGGCAAAATAAGTAAAAAGTAAAATCAACTTAAAGGGGCCCAAACTTTGGACTGTTCTCTTGACCAAACTGTGGTTACCATATTTCCCAGTTTGCGGCTACCCTTCATATTTTGGAGTTCAGAAATCCAATTCCGTCGAAGAAAAGGTAAATTTATTCTGAGAAAGTACGTTTTTGTGTCTGATTTCGTTATACTTACTTCGTTACTTAAAATGTTGTCTGCACTAGCATATGTGAAGTATCTCCCTCAAACTATTAAAATTGAGTTCTAGAACGTGCAGATACGATCCTTAAGATCAAAAGTTATTTAGGGTGGTCTGTTTTCTTTTGGCACATTGTACATAATTTATTACCTATGGTTCATACTCATAATAGTAGGTTGTATTGAAGGATTTGAATTTAATATGACTAATTTCAACACCATTAACCTTGTTAGACATTATGAGTAAAAAGCATTTATTTGTATTATTTTACCTTAATATAAAACTTTTTAGTATGTGAAGAAAAAAATTCTGTTAAAATTACCGTATTGTTTTTTTACCATTTCTGGTAAATTATATATATATATATATATTACACAAGATATGGCTAAGATTATACGATACATCGAACAACTATCTAATGTTGATTTACTTTATTTTCTCCAAATCTTCATTCCTTGGATGTTCGATAATGCAATCAATTTATTTACATCTATCAATGAGATTTCAGACTCTAATCACATTTGATATGTATTTGAGTTTCATAATATAAATCTTAATTAAGTATTTCAAGCAGAATTTTTTGCACTCTAGCGTTTAAATATATCAAAATAGAATAGGGTAAAGCCTAATACGGCGAGGTTCGGGATAGCCTGGTCGGTAGGGCGCTGGGCCCCTGTCCGAGAGTTCGTGGGTTCGAACCCCGCCGGCCGAAGACTCCAAAATCCTCCATGTTCATTAACAAATCAATACCTCTGGGAGTACTGCATATATATATATATCGTATCGAACGATCGTTCTCTGATTCAGATCTAATTTACGATCTGTGGATGAATGAATGTGTCCGCCTTATAAACAGGTGTGGCGTATGATGTTGCAGAAGCCGAATTCTTGACCATAGATGGCGCCACTGAAAAACAAGAATCACACGCTCTGACTCAAATTTGCTCGGTTTCACCAAGCAGGCTTGCCCGTGTGGTAAGTGGTATTAGGACCAACCTAATACGGTTCCAAAAATATGGAGATGGTGTTAAAATCGTTTCGAACGCTCTAAAATATACTTACTTCTTAATGACTCGCCTGTCATGAATGAGGAAAACATAAGTGATTTGATAAAGAAAACGTAAAGTTTCTAACGAAAAAATGGAAAATGAATGTGAAAAAAAAATTTAAAAACTGCTGGCTGGAATTTCTTGATGCCTTAGAGTCTTGTTTCATCCATATGAATGTTGATTCTCTTGTTAACGACATGAGTTCCTTATCATTTCTTCATAAAGCGTGGTAATGTGTTTTGCCCTGATTTCATCCATGCCTCTGTTGTTTTCTATTTTTTTCACCTTTATTCATTTTTCCTTTTCTGCTTCAATCTCGGCTACTGTGGATTTCCTAGCTTTATTTTTCACCTTTATTTACAATTTTTTAGCGTTTTCTTTTCAAATCACTTTTGTTTTCTTCATTCACGTTTGACGAGTTTTGAGAATATGCACCTTTTTTGAGCACTCAAAAATTTACTACCTTATTCATATTTTTGAAGGAAATGAAGTTTTATATTATTAATTATTATTATATAAAATTTTAAGAATCTTGTGATTTCTTTAGATAATGTTAAGAAATATATTTATAAATTATTATGGCTTCGTCATTCCCAGTATAATTGTGGGACTTTCTAACATACAATAGAGGAAAATTACTCAATTGATGAAAAAAGAACAAAATGTGGATGAAGATAATAGATATTTTGCAACGCATATAAATTTTGAAAGTAGATACGCAAATTCAATGAAAAATTTTGTTATGATAATTTAAACTGCAAATCTATTTATTTTTTAAAAGTCACCAGAAGCAAAATAAATATTTAAATTGCAACTTTGTTTGATATCAATGCAGCACCTACATTTTTAAATTAAAAGGAGAAGTGATTTAATTATCAAACTCTGCGTTCAAATATTTATTTAGCTTTAATTATTGAATATAGGGTTTAAAATTATTTTTGGTGAAATTTAATTATAAACTCGTTCCAACAATAGTAAGTTTTAATCTTTTCAAAAATTTTTTTTTTAAAAAAAGTGGAATTCACTTCATTAAAATAATTCTTATACAAAAGTCATGAGTGTATACAAGCAGCTTTAGTCAACGTTATTTGAAACACATCAGAGAACTTTAATTTATTTAACGAATGTAAACTTTAAGATAGTCAATCACTAAGTCTGAAATCGCTAAATGTTTACTATTAAAATCGTTTCTGCAACAATGAGCTTATATATAGTAACCTCTTTGATAGATTAAAGCACTGAAAAAATTCTGCTAAAATTAAAAGTATCATAAAGACTTTTATGGTAAAAAAAAACTGAAATTCTGCTTAAAAAAATAATAGTCACCGACATATGAACCATTCATTTGGAAATTTTTCTGTTCATACATTAATGACTCACCTGAAATTCTGGTTTTCAAAATTATAGTTAATTTTACTATAAATTTAGTTAAACATGCACAACTTAAAACTGAAATTAACCGAATAAATAGATTTTTTCTCTTGTTCTAAGGTATAATGCCAAAATCACGAAACTAACCATATTTACCAAATTTTTCACCAAATTAATTTCTCAAAACCTTACCTACTGTTAATTTTACAAACTTTTCTCCTCAAGATTTGTAATTTGTTTAAAAGATTTCAATCGTCTTACTTATTCTCTTCAAAAATGGTCAAATTACAAAAATATATGGGGTGTCTTCTAAACATGAATTTTTCGCGACAAAAATGCGACTGTCATGGAGAGGTTCGCTTGTGAAGTCATATGTGGTTTTTGCGACATCGATGCGAAGTGGTAGGAAAAAGGTTCCATCTTTGGATGACGTTGTACGTTGATGTCACCCAAACTTCAACATAAAACCAAAATGAGGCATTTAATTTTCCAAGTGACGTCACCGTGTGAAGAAAATGTTACATATTGATGTTTTAACTTAGTCACATAGTGACAGTGTTGAGATGTAAATATATCAACAGTTTTGCCTCAACCTGACTATGATGAGACGTTGTTATGTCACAGTTTTGTCACACTGCGATCCTATTGAGACGTGAATATGTCGCAGTTTGGTCGTACGGTGACCCTGTTGAGCCGTAATTATGTCACAGATCATCACACTGTGAACCCTGCAGAGATTAGAATATGTTACAGTTTCGTCACGCGGTGACGTCATTGCGACAATTAAATGTTTCATTTTTGTCCTTTGAATATCTTAAATAGTGAATATCTTGATTAATACTGACAGTTCATTGGTCGAACGGTTCAACTCCCACAGACCTTCGAATCTTAGCTATACTTTTTTCTAAATTCAGGATCAAATTTTGATAAAAAGTACCGCCACAGAGAGTGCCGGTACTGGTTACAGTAAAATCAATTTTTTCGGAATATGTTACGGAACAAATAATCAGAAATAATTTTACAGTAATAATTGCCATAGTTAAATAAAAAATATTAATCTAGTTAATGTTACGAAACAAAAAAAATCTGCAATATCATTATTTTATAATAATAATTACCGTAAATAAATGAAAAAAGATAGTAATCTAGTTAAATCAATAATACTATAAAAATTACGGCAAAATAATTTTCGGCAAGAATAGATTTTATCGTAAAAAGGATTCTATGGGTGATGCTCCCAAAGGGCCGGTACTTTATACTGTACTTTGAACTGGAATTTTTTACAATATACCACCTTCTGCTATATAATCACCCTTAATGAATCCTAATCTAATTTGATTGAAATCAATTCTAATTTAATTTATATTCATTTATATAATTAATATAATTTAATTCATTCAGAACTAATATTGCAATTTAATTTTTAAATTAAAATTTTATAATAAATCTAAAAAAACTATTTAATTTTCATATGGTGTTATGGATGGATATGATAATTCTGTATTTTAAAGTACATAAATAGGAATTATTTTATTATATTTTATAACCGCCGTTCAACAGCAGACCCAATTTTGGGTTTACGACAACTAATTAGGACTGGGCGATATTAGAAATTATATATCGTGATGCATCGTCAGTTTTGCATCGCGATATAGCGATGTATCGCGATATAGTATTTTTGAATTTCATTTACTTGTAAGGCACAGAAAGTCAGATTTCTATCGAAACTCCATACTCAAATTGATTTAAATCAATTTATAAGTTTGAAGATATATATGTTTTGCTTAAGAAAGATATTAAATAAATTGACTACTAT